AAACACAACCGTAACACAGGCTGACAGAAAACAAGGGCTAAGGTAGTTAGTAATACAACCGTAACACAGGCTGACAGAAAACAAGGGCTAAGGTAGTTAGTAATACAACCGTAACACAGGCTGACAAAAAACAAGGGCTAAGGTAGTTACTAACACAACCGTAACACAGGCTGACAGAAAACAAGGGCTAAGGTAGTTAGTAATACAACTGTAACACAGGCTGACAGAAAACAAGGGCTAAAGTAGTTAGTAATACAACCGTAACACAGGCTGACAGAAAACAAGGGCTAAAGTAGTTAGTAAACTAACTACCTTAGCCCTTGTTTTCTGTCAGCCTGTGTTACGGTTGTGTTACTAACTACTTTAGCCCTTGTTTTCTGTCAGCCTGTGTTACAGTTGTATTACTAACTACTTTAGCCCTTGTTTTCTGTCAGCCTGTGTTACGGTTGTACGGCTGTGAAACGTTGAGATCATTCTGTCATGTATTTCTTTACTAAAGGTCTTTTATTTATCACATAATGGCTTCTTTGATTCGATCATTTCTGTTTTTGTTGTTGGTGAGTAGTAGCAATATAAATAAAAACTGTATCATTGCATGAAAACATTACACCTTCTCTCTCTCTCTCTTATATATATATATATATAATCATCAGAGAGAGATAGTAACAATATGGAAATTACAATATGAGGTATCAGTTTTCCCTTGTATTATAAGGATACATAGTGTTTTTTTTCATCTTTAAGTTAGTCATTGGTTTTTCTAATGGGATAAGAAAACTCAGTGTATAAAAGTTCTTTGTATCTAAGATATGGTTCTGTTGATTTTGGTTAAAATCTCACCTTCATCCAAAGCTACTTACCGAACCAACCAACTCTATTACGTAATCATGTTATATTTAAAGGTGTTGTTTGTTAAGTGTGTATGCTTGCATGTTTACAATTGTACGTTGGTAGTTTTAAAATATAGTGAAAATTTAAGGAAAAAACAGAGTAAGTTTTACATTGATTGTATTACAACAAATAGCCACACTTAGATTTTGAAGTTCTGTCACAAACCTTATATATATATAGTCACTAAGTAAAGGTGTAAGTGAAGTGTACTGTGTATAGATGTGGGTGGTTCTAGTAGTACACCGGATCAAGGGAAAAGTACTTTGTATCAAAGATAAAACTGAAATATTTAGGGATGTAGTATTGAGTTATACTTAGTGTGAATTGTCCAGGTTTTTCTATGAACATGAGAAGGAACCAACTTTTTAGAAATTAAAAGTTTGGAGACGGCTTGAATGGGCAATGAAAAAAACTTTGTTATAACCACTTAAGCCAGTCCCAAACTTTTAAAGTATAATTTAGTACTTTTAAAATGTTGATGCATTACAACCAAAGAATGCTTGTTTTTGAAGAGTTGGCGTATATCATACATTTTCAGAGAACTGACTTGTGAAATTTTTATTACTTCATTAAATGTTGTTATGTGATAAAAACATTCTGTAGAGAGGAATGATTTTTTTATGCTGTTTATAAGCTTCATTAGAATTTTGGAAAGAAATATTTCCTTGTTTTAAATGGGGGGGGGATGCACTGTTTGTTCATAAAGTGCAAGTCTTTCAGCCTGAAAGTTGAACTTGTAATACGTATTGTTACACATTTACTGGTACTGGCTTTATCAGTTTCCTTCCAAAACATTGTAGTTTGGTTTTTGTTGTATTAATCACTTTTATATACAAAAATATCTCTCAACTTTCATATACCTTGTTGCTAAGTCAGTAAGGATGTTCTCTCAAGTTTCATATACCTTGTTGCTAAGTCAGTAAAGATGTTCTATCAAGTTTCATATACCTTGTTGCTAAGTCAGTAAAGATGTTCTATCAAGTTTCATATACCTTATTGCTAAGTCAGTAAAGATGTTCTATCAAGTTTCATATACCTTATTGCTAAGTCAGTAAGGATGTTCTCTCAACTTTCATATACCTTGTTACTAAGTCAGTAAGGATGTTCTCTCAACTTTCATATACCTTGTTGCTAAGTCAGTAAGGATGTTCTCTCAAGTTTCATATACCTTGTTGCTAAGTCAGTAAAGATGTTCTCTCAAGTTTCATATACCTTGTTGCTAAGTCAGTAAGGATGTTCTCTCAACTTTCATATACCTTGTTGCTAAGTCAGTAAAGATGTTCTATCAAGTTTCATATACCTTGTTGCTAAGTCAGTAAGGATGTTCTCTCAAGTTTCATATACCTTGTTGCTAAGTCAGTAAGGATGTTCTATCAACTTTCATATACCTTGTTGCTAAGTCAGTAAGGATGTTCTATCAACTTTCATATACCTTGTTGCTAAGTCAGTAAGAATGACTTGAAGTTTGTTTACATGGAGTAAAACAGAACTGTTCCACTACAGCAAGTCTATAGTTATTGATAACATGACCAACAAACTCAAACTTTTGAGGAGGGAAGTGTGTGTGTGGTGGGGGGGGCTTCTACGTTGGGAGATTTAGCCAGCTCATATACTAATAGTTTTAAGAAGACAGACTATGATTACAAAAGTATTGTTTTGTAGAAAGAATACATTGTGTGAGTTACATCCTTTGAAAACAACATTTGTCTAAAGAAGTGCAGTTCATATATCTAAAAATAATAAATATATACACACACACACACACAACCTCATTGAGGGTTGTAGTTCTGTGTAAACAAAATGGCCAAGAAACTGACTTTTTTGAGTAAATGTACTCCATTTAATTCCTGCATGTCCTTATTATACAACAGATAGAAATAAAGTAGCCTAGTGTTGTCTTACCATTGTTATCATATTCAATATCGTCATGCAGTATACTGGAATTGATATTATTTATGTAAGTAGCTTAATTATAATATACTTAGTTATATTTCATGTCATTAGGCAATATACTGGAGCTGGTTTTCTTTTTGTAACTTTATTATCATGTCATTAGTTGTCTTTTTTGATGTCACTCAGGATGCAGGAGCTGATATGTAAGTAGCTTAATTGTATTCTTTCGTCGACAAGTTCGTTTGTGTTCCTTGTGCCAGTGTACCTGTTGACATTCTAGACTACAGTACGAAACATTC